ACTCTATTCTATGGGTGAGGCGTGAGGGCTATAATTACAAGTAATAATTCCCTTGGGGCTCCCAAAAAGGTTAATTTGGAGGGTTCAGTTTAAAATTGCAATTGCCCATATTAAAGCATTTTTTAGAATTATTCATTTGAAACATTTAATTAACAAAACAAAGTTTTTACTACAGTACAAACAAATAATTTTATGCATTTACTGTATCATTTGTTTCCACCACAACCTGGAGGGCAGGCAACCGTGGGGAATTTGATAACAATTTGCAGCCTGGAGACGGGCAATTAACAAACTCGTGTACTGGCCGGACATCTCGCCTTGCAGCACGGTTCACGCTGCAGGAGACTGGGTGTAATCGAGCAACATTATCTCAAAGTTTTTCAACTTTATGCTGGACATCTTTCAGAATAAGTCATTTTCATGATGGCTAACAGTTCAATTGCTGAAATTGAGATATTTTTAAAGTAATAATATACATAAAGATATTACTCGACTGTGATTGGTTGATTTCAGTGCAGTTAATCCCAAACAGCTGTAATCACAGTGCAATTTTATGTTATCACAGTGCAATTTTTTTTAGTCACAGTGCAATTTTCTGTAATCACAGTGCAAAAATCTGTAACAAATTGATCTGATTGGTGGAAAAGCATTGTGATGATTAAATCAACCAATCAGTTTAAAGCAATTTAGTTTAAATAAGTAACGGTCACAGATTGCTTCAAAACAAACTTGGCGCCGCGCTACGTAAAGTAAAAGTTGCCTTCGCACCGAGGGTGGCTGGAAGTTTCCCAAACTCACATCTGCTCGATAGTGCCAAATGAGCCATTGCAGAGACCAACTTCAGCCCACAGGTTGCATGTGAGCATTACTTCTGCTTTTGTGGATAAAAACAGTACAGCGTCCAATCCACCAGCTTCGTTCGACGTGGCCGCACTGGCACCATGACCAGAGTGCTTTGCCTGAGTTTTAGCAACAGGTTGTCCAAGCTGCATTAGCTTCTCATAATTGTATTCAGGAACACTTTTCTTGTCAAAGTACAATCGGATGGCATCAGTGAATTGATCCATTGTTACATTTGTTGTTGAATGCTCCAACAATAATTTCCAGTTCTCCTCTGTCACTTCTCCATTTCGCATTCTCATCAGCAAGGCGCTAAGGGCAACTGCCTCGGGCTCCTCACCAGCCTGACGCATAACTTGATCTAAAATAATGACAGACTCAAACATCAGATACAGACTATGTCCATTGTCACGTACTACTGTTTCATTACCTGAAACATATATTGGCTTATCACCAACAGGTGGTAATTGACCAAAATTCCCCATTAGAATTACTGACATACCACCAAAAGGGGTATCTTCCTTTCCAGTACCAGCACGTAATCTATTGTCAAGCAATGATAGCATTTTATGTCCAATCATTGACATTTAATTTCATCAATAATCGGAAATCTTTTACCTTCTAGCCTCAGCTGTAACCGCTGTAGTGAGTCACCCTGCGAATCCCTATATTCACGGATATGAAGTTGAGCAGCAGAATGTAATGTTTGACCATTAATACTAAATGCTGCAATCCCAGTAGTTGCTGTAACAACACACTGAGCAGCTAATACTTGTTTCGTTGCACTTATTAAGTATGTCTTACCTGTGCCAGCTGTTCCACACACAATCATATAAACAGGCTCAGCATTATCACCATTCTGAGATGTGATGATGTCGTAAGCAAGGCGTTGTTTTTCATTTAGGGTCTCCAGATCAATTACACATTGTTGATCATCTTCTCGGAATTGCTGACTATGTTCCTCAGCCTCCTTTCTCTGACTATAGATCCATCCTGGAGATTCCCTTAACAAATCTCTAGGCACAGCTCTTACCGTTTCAAACCAGTCCACTGCTTCATTGTCTGACATCCGATTACCTGCTTCACCATAATCTTGGTTAATTCTGCATAACAACATCCAATCATCAACTTCCTCCTCGTCATGAGGGTCAACTTCACTTTCGTCGTCATCATCTTGATTGTCACTTGGATCGTTTTCAAAGGTTTGACCACATTGTGCATCACGAACTCTGTCTGTTTCATCGGAATACCTAAACACATTTTCTTCCGCAAATTCATCTGTCATAAGAAAAAATTCATATGCATTAATAAACATTTGATCACTTTCATCCTCGTTGTTCCAAGCATTTGACGATTGACCCTCCCATGGTTTAAACTTTATTAGTTGATATTTGCACTATTTTCCAAAATCAGGACCAGCAGGATTAGCGGAAATCTTTGGAAATGTCTTGACATTGTACGGATTCGCTCGTTTTGTCAACTTATCTCTGACTTTGGTGTACCGTGACACATATTGCATCAGATTTAGCTGAGACAAGCCTGTATACCTGCTCTTCAATTTTGTACGTTCTGCATATTCTTGTAGCGCAGATTTTTGAAGTACCTCATCGCATTCGTTTTCTGCATCAATATTAACCTACCTGCTGTTATCGAAAGAAATAGTAACAAAACTAACTGTGCAGCCAACCAGTGGTAGACTAAGTAACATATGCGCAGTTTCTTGTGCTGCCATATCTCTATCCGCCATCATACATTAGTGGAATGGTAACAGTTATGAGACCAAGTAGCCATCAGCTGCGCAGAAATAAGGAACTATTGATAGAGCTAGCTAATAACAGAAATACGAAGAAGACTTTAGGTTATAGAGCTTTTAGTTTTGCAGCTCCTACAGTTTTTAATGCCTTGCCGCATTTTATCAGACGAGATAGTAATTTTAATAGCTTTAAGTCTTCATTGAAAACATATCTTTTTCAAATTGCATATTGTACATAGATTTATCCGCTTATTTTAG